ATAATGGCGAGCGGCGCCAGGAATGGCGGGCTGGGGTCCAGGGCGGGCGGCAAGATGGACAGGCAGCAGGGCTCCACCGCCACGCCCAAGGCGCCCGCCGGGAAGCCCCGCCTCTCCGCGGCTGGCGGCGCGTACCGCCGCACCAGCTCCGGCCCGCTCCCCGCCGCGGGCGGCCGCAACTCGTCCGAATCCGGAGGTAGGTCCGCCCGCCCCGCCGCTCTAGAGCCGGATCCCGATTTGGATTCGCTGTTACCCTACCCGCGAGAGGTTTTTTTGGGGGTTTGCCGTCCGGTCTGATCCGCATTTCTCTGGGTCCCCGCGGTTTGGATGAATCTGCCGCCTCGTCTCCTCAAGCTTTGCTGGTTTTGGTTCGCCGGCACAGCCGAGTGTGTCTGCTTGGGTGGTGCGATCGGGATGGTGAATGAATCTCTCCGGATTTCGGGTCTGCTCCTTCCTTCAGTAACGCCGCCGCGAGCTTTGCCTGGATGATGGAGTGTGACGCAGCTGCACAACGCCTGCACCGTCGTCTAGAAACTGTAGAGAGAACAAAATGGCCGCGATGCGTTTGGTGAATGCATCACAGTATCCTTGGATCGTATCATGCGAAAAAATCAATAGCGGATGCCGTGCTGCCCCATTTTTTCTTCCCATTTTAGAATATGCTGTTTCCTCGACGGGAGGACATTGCTGATGCGGTCTTAGTTGAGCTAGGACCATTGGTGTTCGTCCTCGAGCTGCCTCGTGCACCGCTCATGATGGCACTGCACCCAGCCGCCACCCACCCTTCCAATCTTTCAGTAACTGCGGGTTGTACCGAAGAGTCCCGCTTGGTAGATGCGCTTCCATAATTTTGCTTTTATGTTCCTCAGCTCTCTTACTAGATTGTGTACCGCAGTCAAACCGTCAAAGTAGACAATCCACTTACCATGGCTGGGAAGTGTGCTACGATTGCAGAGAGATCGCTGCTTTTTGTGGTGATTAGTTTTGCATTTGCCTTTTGCATTCCAGAAGAATTACTTGCTGAAAATGGTGTACGCTGTTCTCCTGTTGATATTATGAGATAAAATGCCTTCTTTCGCTAGATTATTTTGGTTGCACACGCTTCGCTTCAATTCTGCCTGACATGATCATTCCAAATTCATAAGCAAATTTGCATGTGTGCGTGGAAATGTTGATTCACCTGCTGCATCTGTTTAACCAAATGAATTTTGCCTCCCCCATTTTTTCTGCAGTTTCAAGCAGAGTTAGAGTTGCTGTAAGGCTAAGGCCTCGGAACGCAGAAGAGCAGGCGGCAGATGCTGATTTTGCCGACTGTGTTGAACTCCAGCCAGAGGTTTGACCTCCTGCTTAGCACACTGTGTGAAATATGATTCATTTAAGTTTCCCATGGACTCACTGGATTAACGTTTGATGTGTAGCTCAAAAGACTAAAGCTTCGTAAAAACAATTGGGAGTCCGACACATTTGAATTCGATGAAGTGCTTACAGAGTTTTCTTCACAAAAGAGAGTGTATGAAGTTGTTGCTAAACCAGTTGTGGAGGTATGTGAACTTCTAACATTGATACATCAGTAATCACAGTAGCTTGTGCTCTTAGTGAAATCTCCAACAAACAATATACATTTGCATGTTGCAAGCTTGTTGCTTTTAACCTATATTTTGTGGATAGATATTCTTAGCAGAATTTCAAATGACTTTTGGCGTGGGTGTTGATATGTCATGTAATAAAATCTGAAACTTTAGCCAAGTACCCCCTCTGTTCATTATTATAAGATGTTCTAACTTCTTTCTGAATCGGATGTATATAGACATTTTAGTGTGTTTGTTCACTCTTTCCAGTCTGTATGTAGTCCATATTGAAATATCCAAAACATCTTATAATAGTGAACTGAGGGAGTAGCTGACGTGATAGACGAAACCTGGAGTTGAACTCTTGGAACTTTCTTATTGTGTCATGGCCTTCAGTTTTACTCCTGGCATTTGTTTATTTTTACCAATACTCCTGCTATGTGTTACTTTCTTACCAATGTCAACGATGTCCGCGTTCTGCAGAGTGTTTTGGAGGGATATAATGGTACAGTTATGGCATATGGGCAGACTGGTACTGGCAAGACTTTTACACTTGGAAGGCTTGGTGATGAAGATACTGCTGCACGGGGAATCATGGTCCGTGCAATGGAGGATATTCTTGCTGATATAACCCCTGAGACTGATACAGTATCACTATCTTATCTACAGGTTTGTGATGCTTGGCTTCTGTGTGATTTTATCTTCTGCCTTCGTTTTGAATTTGTGCACAACTTTATACAGTTCTCTTACCGTAACTCTGTATTGGGTTGTCATTGCAGTTGTATATGGAAATGATACAAGATCTCCTTGATCCCGTAAATGATAACATAGCCATTGTAGAAGACCCAAGAACAGGGGATGTTTCGTTGCCTGGGGCCACTGTAGTTGAGGTTAGAGACCAGAAGAGTTTTATGGACCTTTTAAGAATTGGTGAAGCTCATCGTGTTGCTGCAAACACAAAGTTAAATACAGAGTCATCTCGTAGTCATGCAATTCTCATGGTAATCTTTATGTTCTTTGATCTTGCTGCCTATTAGCACATGATTACGACTACTGTGGTAATTTTTTTGACCTTCTGTGATTATCTTTGGTGAAGGTAAATGTCAGAAGGGCTGTAAAAGGTAGAAGTGAAATGAATGTTAGTATGTCTGCTGAAAATGGGCATTCGTCTTCAATGATGGACTCTCTACGACCACCTATTGTCAGGAAAAGCAAGCTTGTAGTTGTAGACCTGGCAGGATCCGAGCGAATAGATAAATCTGGTAAGTGCATTCTCATCGATAAAATTTGGCACATTTTTTCTTAAAAATGTTACGCCTTCCTACAATTTTATATCTTCGTCTTGAGATAATTATCTTTACTGTAAACTGCAACCCTGTAGAGCTGAAAATTGATGTTGTGCAGGAAGCGAGGGTCATACATTAGAAGAGGCGAAGTCTATTAACTTGTCCCTAAGTTCACTAGGAAAATGCATCAATGCACTTGCTGAAAGCAGCGCACATGTACCTGTTCGTGATTCCAAGCTTACTAGGTTGCTTAAAGATTCGTTTGGAGGTAAATTCCCTTGGTTTGGTCAAAAGTGAAAGTGATTTGACATAGCTAGGTCATCAGCCATCTTATTGCAAAGCTAGGAAGGCCTGCCTTTGTACGCCTTGTTGCCTGTAGGCTATTGCAGTTATTTGTTCTCACAGGTGCTTCTGTTGCTGGATTTCATAGGCACTGCAAGAACTTCATTGGTTGTGACGATTGGTCCATCTCCAAGACATAGGGGGGAGACTACAAGTACAATAATGTTTGGACAAAGAGTATGATCTTACACTAAGATATATTTAATTGCTTTATTTTTTCTTATCTTGACCAACTGGCAATCTCCTGATTCCATGGAAGTGTAGGAGAACTATTCTGATTTGCTTCGTTTATGTAATAACATTTACTTTAATGTCTCATTCTAGGCAATGAAGGTTCAGAACATGGTGAAATTAAAGGAAGAATTTGACTACAAAAGTTTGTGTCGGAGACTTGATATTGAATTGGACAAGTTAATCGCAGAAAATGAAAGGCAACGCAAATATTTTGATGATGAAATTGAACGAATAACAGCAGAAGCTCAATACCGTGTTGCTGAGGCAGAAAAGGAATGCAAAGTTTCTCTAGAGGTTTGCTTCCATCATAATGTTCTTTTACTTCTGTTCTGTGTGCGTTGAACTCCATGAGGGCACTATTTTTTCTAGGAATTTGACCGCGCTTCTTATATTTTTTACCTTTAGTTAGAGAATAAATATAAGTTTTGGGGCATCAGTAGTCTTAATTTGCTGAATTCCATAGGTGTAAACTTGGTTCTAGATCTCCACCATAAACTAACTTGAATCTTAAATTGCCTGGATAGTTTTTTAGTTGATACCTTTTCCATGTCTGGGCTCCTCAATTTTCTCACCTCTACCATCATTTAACTCTTCTGAAGCATCTCTGTTGGCTCTCTAGTGTCCCTCTAAAGGCGAGTTTGATCAAGAATAAGTACCATAATATTAACGCAAATAATCCTATGTTTATTTCGGAAACTCTTTTTTATTCGGTATTGTCCCTCTAAAGGCGAGTTTGATCAAGAATAAGTACCATAATATTAACGCAAATAATCCTATGTTTATTTCGGAAACTCTTTTTTATTCGGTATAAATGTCTGGATCTTAAAGCTTCCTAAATTATTACGTTGGCTCTAGCATGCTTGATTGACACTTCATTTGGTATTCATTTTACTGTGTGGTTTCTTATTGCAGAATGAGAAAATGAAGTACCATCAAGAATACTTGGACTCTATAAAGATACTAGAAGAGAAGTGGAAAGTACACCAACAGTCACCTAAGAAACAGGTACATCTTATCATGATTAGATCAGCTTTACTTATTGGTTATTTGGTCAGTCATGGGTTAATCTTTAATCTTTTATAAGACATCAGTTATGATGAAGTGCCACATCTTGTATTGTAAAATCTGAAAATGATTACCCATGCAATTTTTCAAATGTAGATTAAAGAGGAGTCTACATCAAATGGTGACGTGCAGGACTTACTGCAGAATGAGAAAATGTTACGCCAATCTGCTGAAGACGAGTCCAATGACCTTAAGAATCAATTATCACACTGGAAAAAGATGGAGGTACTGTCAATATATATTGCTAGAAAGATGACCTTAAGCATTAAGTATCACACTGGAAAACATATATTGTTTTTGAAAATAAACTCATTCCTCATTGTCGCTGCTAACTATATTTTCGTGTTATATAGACCACAGCTACTGCTGAAGTAGTGAGACTCCGGAGAATGTTGGATACTGAAGCTAGCCAGAAAGATAAACTTGAAGAAGAAATAGCTGTTTTGAAAAGTCAGTTAATGCAGTTAAGTCTGGATGCTGATGAGGTAGGACTTACTGCTGATGCTAGTTTTTATGTTATTAGTAACGTTTCGAATGATGTGAAATTATTATTTTTAATTTAACAAGTGGTGTATCTATTGTTTTGTATTTATTTGGTGATTCCCTGCCAACAACGCAATTATTATTCTTTTTGAATGTTTCACCTTGTAAAAGCATTATCAAGTTCTTTGGCTAACCAATTTTAGTTCAAGCAAACTCATAAATATTACTTGACTTGTAGCCTTCCCTATTATGTTGAATATACTGTCTTTATTCAATGCATCCAGCCATCTACAATTTGTTGGAACTCGTTTCCCTTTTTTACTTCTAATGAGTACTATAGTTCTATCCTAAGATCCATAATGTGCTTTTCGTTTCGTTTCAATCAGACAAGAATGGGCCTTGACACAGGAGATGGACCAGGAAAAATATTTCCTGGTTTAGATTCTTTGATGTCTCACTCTCGGAATTCACAGCCTAGAGAGCAGAGCAATGGACCTAAGGCGCCAGTCGCGAAACTCTTTGAGCAAGGTATTTATTACTTATTCTCGAGAATGAAATCTTGCCTGCAGTGTTGAAAATTTCAAATAGTCGAGTTTTTTCCCTGCCACTGGTTTTGGTTCTACACCTGATTCTCTCATGATTGCCTTCCAAATTCTGCTTTATTTGACCCTCTTGTTCTTTAAAGCATCTCCAAACTGTAAAACCAAATGATTAGCTTAAAAGTATTACTCTACCAGTTATTTCCCTGGTTATAAAAAGTGGTGCAAAATAATTCTGTTTTCTGAAAACAAATGATACCTAGTCCTTAAGTGTGTTTTGTGCTTCCTTACAAACTTACATATCATGGCAGAGACACCATAGCAGAGCAATCAAATGTGACACCTGACACATTTTGAGGAAATATTTTGTATGTAGTACTTACACACGCATCATATATAGTGATGATAATGATAAAACAGTACTGTATGATCTTGTGAATTAATACAGCTATCGCGGAATCAAAGGCAACAATGAGAATATTGATTTAAACCATGATGAAACCACTACAGCGTTTTGTCCCTGTTTTTAGTCTTTACCATAACTGTCATTTGAGCTGATTGACATCTCTAGAGTGTGATTGATCTTTTGATGAAAGTTGCCCCCCAATCTGTTTCAGTTGGGTTACAGAAGATATTGTCATTGCTTGAGTCAGAAGAACCTGATGTTCGTGTTCATGCCGTGAAAGTTGTCGCGAATCTGGCGGCTGAAGGTATAAGCTTCACATTGTTTTAGTTAGATATAAAGCTGCTACATATTGTTTTACATGCCATTGTTGCATTTGTTGCATGGGTATGTTCAGGGCCGTCCAAGGGCCTGTGCGAGCTGTGCTACATGATGAAGTTGATTTCATATATTTGAAGTTGATTTTTAGGCATCACCATTTGCTGCATGTTGCTACATGATGAAATGATACAGTAGCACTTATCTATAAGCATGTTACTGATCTCTGAATTAGCTCCTGGTTAGATATTAGGATATTGCAGCTGTGTTTTTCAGTTTCTACTTCAATTTAACCCGGGCACTAAACATCACTGTTTAATGTAAATATGTATTTTTTGGTGCGACATCTGATGCTTGCTTGCTCATGTCGATTCTCACTCTTTGGCCACAACTTGCAAATAGTTGCATTTATTTGCTCAACTTTGCCCCGAACATCATATGATTATGCACTAATTTCACATAATTGTGAAGTAACTATATTTGACCTTCCATACTTCAGAGGCAAATCAAGAAAAGATTGTAGAAGCAGGTGGCCTCACTTCCCTCCTAATGCTGCTTAGGAGCTCTGAGGATGAGACCATACGCAGAGTAGCAGCAGGAGCAATTGCTAATCTTGCAATGAATGGTTAGTAACCCAGCAGTATTTCGTTTATAATTCATGAATAGAAGTATTAACTAGTGATTTTTTTCTATGGTAGAAAATGCCTTCTTATCTTATCGTGATAATCTACATATGCAGAAACGAACCAAGATCTTATAATGGCTCAAGGTGGTGTAACCTTGTTGTCAATGACAGCATCTGATGCGGAGGACCCACAAACTCTAAGAATGGTGGCCGGAGCTATTGCTAACCTGTGTGGCAATGGTAACTATATTCTGCTGGTTTGCTGAAGCAAGCGCTCTATTATCTTAAGAATTTAACGTGCCGAAACACATGCAAAATTTAGATTACTTTTTGGAAAAAAGGTAGATTACTTAAAGGCTCATGTAGGAGCCTACATATTCTACAAATAATTTGATGTTTACTTGAACAATACATACATCATTCTATCCATGTGGCTATTTCCCTAACTTCACATTTTTCTTGAACCAGACAAACTGCAAACTCGTTTAAGAGGAGAAGGTGGAATTAAAGCATTGCTGGGAATGGTCAAGTGTGGCCATCCTGATGTCCTTGCTCAAATTGCTCGTGGCATTGCAAACTTTGCAAAATGTGAATCTAGAGCAGCTACTCAAGGTAATGAATTAATGGCGGCACGGACATGAATTTTCAAGTTCATTCAAACTTTGTACGACATCCCTGCATTATGTGGATACACATATTAGCTAGACCCTTGATACTCCCTCTGTAAACTAATATAAGAGCATTTAGATCACTACTTTAGTGATCTAAACGCTCTTATATTAGTTTACGGAGGGAGTACATTGCAGTCCCACGTAATTTTTCTTTTGAGATCGATATTTTTTGTTACTAAGATATGCATATTTCTATTCCATCAGGAAACAAGGTGGGGAGATCATTATTGGTGGATGATGGGGCACTTCCTTGGATCGTAAAAAACGCGAATAATGAGGCTGCCCCAATCAGGCGGCACATCGAGCTAGCACTGTGCCATTTGGCGCAACATGGTTACCCCTCTCTCTCTCTCATACAACTCAGATAAATCGTGATAGCAATCGCATGTAGTTATGCTTATGGTGTCAATCTGGCCTTCTGTAGAGGTGAATGCCAAGGATATCGTGAGTGAAGGCGCACTCTGGGAACTTGTACGGATCTCGAGGGATTGCTCTCGGGAAGATATAAGGATGTTGGCATACCGCACGCTGACATCCAGCCCCACCCTTCAGTCGGAGATGAGGAGATTGCGGATAGAGTGCTGATGAATCGACCCAAAAAGATTCAACTGGGTCTCATCCTCACACCGAGTGGAGTTATGTTTCTCGCCCAAATCTCCCAAGTCGAGTAGAGGCGCTGCTGTTGCGCAAGTGCTGGCAATCAACCGCGTCGGCCCTTGATATGCCCAGCTTCTGCAAGCAGGCATACATATGGCCGGGCAGCGGACCCGTTGAGTTTTGTCTCAACTGTCAATGGTCTGCGCCATCGTTCTCCTCAAGCTGATTCATTTTATTTATGGTGGCGATTCGTTTATTCAAACCCTAGCATGTGAGGCTTTACTTACTTGGATGTAGCCTGTAGAAGAATTTGTGTTGTAAAATCCACGAGCGTGGGAGAGGTGAGTGGCTTGCAGTGCAGATAGGTTGGCTTGGGTTGGGGCCATGACATGGATTATATACCTATATACTTGTATTAATTGTACAGTGGACAATCTTTTGACTGTAACTTAATAGTACTCCAGGAGGGTGATGATAATCACTAGCTGCTTCCTTGCCGTCTGTGTTTGTTACAAGAGTGTTTGTCTGTCTGCAGTGTGAGAACTATGAAGACCGTTGCGTTGCAAACGGTGCCTGCGAGTCGAAAAATGCAAAGAGTGCTGGTCAGTTTCGGCCTTGCTGCACATAACAAGTTAGTGACTATGGATAACCTAGCTACCTCAACCTGGCTGTAGGCTCCTCTTATGAGAATGAGAATGTTGGTAGTTTTTGGATTGAGAAAAAGAAACGCGATGCCCTCGGCTGTATTTGTGCTGCAGTGTTATGGGGCTTGCGGAGCATCAGAAACCTTGAACAATCTGATGAAATGGCTCTCTGTTAAGCAGGTTTGGGCCTTGATTCTGAAAACTCCTCGGGAATGGAAGCTCCTGCTCTCGGAAACAATGGACAAGTCCTGTGTAGTCTCCGGCCAGGTGCACGCTGCCGCTTTCCTCTCAGCTGACCCTTGGTTGTACGAGCTTTCCTCTCAGCTGTGGGAAAACACGAGCATTCTTGTTCTGTCTTGGGTTTCCTTTTTTCAGTTCCCTGCTTGTTGTTGGTCGCACTTGCATTTTCCTTGTGAGCTTTCACTTGCTTTGCACTGGATGCGGAGGCATTGTTGCTGTGCCCCGCTTCGTTCTGGTAACTGAGCGCCAGGGAGGCCGCCTGGTTGGCTTCCTGTTTGTCTATTCAAATGTGTTGGTTCGGCTGCGGTACGTGGAATGGAAGGAACCAGCCGAGCTTCGTGAGACATGTCCGCATGTGGCCGTGCGGCCGACAGGCAGAGAAGCGAAGCGGACAGGGGCAGGCTCGCTATGCGATAATGAGGATGAGAGAGCAGGCACTCTCACTCGCTGTCAAAGCACCATCAGCTTCAAGTTGAAGAGAAGGACGGCACAAGAGTTAGAGCGGCAGAGGCCGGCCATCTCTCGTTGAGGGGCTAGGGCAGGGTAGGGCCCCAGCAGTGCTCACCCGTCAGTGTCACCCATCACTCACGGTCAGAGTGGTTGAGGAGAGGAGAAGACGAGAGTCCTGCAGGGGCATGCACGCACGCACGCACCAACATAGTACCGCACGGAGGCAGAGCTGTCCTAGGCATGCACATGCAACTTAAGGCTTTGTCTCGACTCTCGACCTCTGGACTGGAGGGGAGGGCAGACGAGACACCCAATTCAACTCGTCGACCACTCACGCGTTCGGCTTGAGAGTTGAGAGATGTGCTGCCAAATAGAGTATTTGGCTAGTGTTCGTGTAGGCTAGCTAGCTGTCCGTGCATTGATGGAACATGTGGATCTGGAGTGCCACTACTATGCCTTCTGACCTTGTGCTTTGGATCACTCTCCAATCCGTCCTACCTCCTGTCCGCTCCCATCGACCGACCCAGCCAGAAGCCGAGAATAGCTGTGCGCGCGTGCTCACGAGTCACGACCAACCGTCCGCGAGGCTCGCCAACTTGTCACCGGGCCGTCCGGTGCTGGTGGTAATTAAGCTGCACGTACGTTGTCGTACGTACGTATACGGCGCGCCACTCTCGCGGTCGGTCAAAGGCTCAAAGCAGAGGCCAGCATGCATGCAGAGCCACTGAGCTGACTCTAGAACGGAGACCAGCGCCAATTCTCTGCCGAAAAAACAACGAATTCTCGTCAGCTCTCCCTTTCACTCACTGGCCAGAATGTACTACCAAAACGTACGTATCTCTCTCTCTCTCTCTCCCCGTCGCTCGTGCCTGTACTGTAATGATGGGGTCGTACGAGCGGGAGAGACTTTCTCCACTTCGCAGACTCGCACGCGTGCATGTACTGGTAGTAGTGCTACGAGCACGAGTACTACTGTCTAGTCCAAGCTCCCAGCTCGTGGTGATGGCGTCACGCACGTACATTCCGCAGGTACGTGGGAGTACACGGGATGACTGTACTTGTCACTGACACTAGCTATGCACATGTAGAGAGAGAGAGAGAGGAGAGGCCCTGACTGACGGCGCTTCAATGGAGGGGAGGAGCCTGCGGCGGACGGACCGACGTGGACAGTCACCACTCACCACCCATGCGTGCACGCACAGTGTTGACCGTTTTCGCCGACGACGGACGTACGCACGCATGCATCACCTCCCTCCTCTCGAAACAGCGAGACCCGAACGCATGCTGCGATATCGCAGGGGGCGATCTTGTCGGACATGTGTGCATGCATGCGCTCGAGTGTATACAGGCCGAGCCGGTGCGGGAGCGCGAAAGCTATTCAAGGGTCGCGGTCGCCGTCGCCGTCGCCGAAAAGCCGTCGTGTCACTCCTCCCGTGCGTGCGTGCGTGCGTGCGTGTCCTTTGCTGACGGCACAAACCGTAGACCAAATCTATCTCGCATGGATCGCATGTGGAGCTGGCACCCCTCCCCTCCCGCGGTCGCCGCGTACCGTACGTCCGAATCGAGAGCCTTCATCGACCCCGCGTGTGCTTGGCACTAGTACATGGAAGGAAAGAGAATACAAAATTGTATCCGAAGAAAGATGGACGATATATATTCATGTGGAGCCGGCGGCTCCCTAGCGTTCCTGGCGGCCTCCCCGAAAAGGTAAATTTTGTCTCCCCCTCAGACAGAAAAGGTAGCGTTCCCTGCAATCACCTAGTCCCTGACTCACGTGATCGTTCCATCCCCATTTTCCCTCCCCCCTCACGTGATCCCTCCCATCCCGCTTTCCCTCACCCCCACCTCTCCTCCCCTCCCATTCCAGGCGCCAGCCGCCAGAGCATCGACCCCATCTTCTTGTCCCCCAAGAAAGAGGCAAGGTTCATCCTCCTTAGATCCCAAAAGCTTCACGCCCTGCAATGCGCTATCCATGAAACTGTTGATCTAAAAACACCTAGAAAAAAGCAGAGGAAGAAGGAGAAGCAGCAGAAACATGGGAGTTCAGAGGTAAACCAATAGATCTGCTCACCTTCCCCCAGCCCCATCCCTCCCCCAGCATGGATCTTCTTGATTTGCTGCATCTTGTCAGGACCCCGATCCTAAGTCACACCGATCTAGCATGTAACACCTCATATCACTTTGCGGCCTCACGCACGGTATTCCCACGGGTGTCGCCTTACCATACCCGGGACCGTTTGCGCCTTTTGGCACACGTATATGATAGTGTCGCTAGCATTCATATGACAAAGAAACCCGGGCTGACATGGCTAGTCGTGAACCCAAATTGGCACTAACTTACAGGGATAGGCATACATGACCCAACAACGAACATGTAGGTCATCAGCGAGTGAATCCGGGCTGTAGCAGCTGGGCTACCAGGACTCCGGAGAATCCGGGCTGTAGCAGGCTAACAGGACTCCGGTAGACACTGCATGACATTTCTCCGAAGGGACAGACACATGAATGAAGAAGGACACATGCCGGTCAACCTAAGTGTTCCGGAGCAGTAGCCAGCTACCAGGGCTCAGTGGAAGCACTAGGAGACATTTCCCGATAAGAGAGGCTACTACGGATAAACAACTAAATAGTCAGATCCCACACATAGCAATACACATTACACATACGCATAACATGCAAGTATGTATTGTACAACATGGCATCACAGCATAACTCAACAACTCATATAGATAAGGCTCAAAGAGCCATCAGAGCATTTATTACAAATAGGGGTCACATGACGCAACATACAGAGCATTCAAGCAACAAACGGAAGTATTACATGTCTGAGTACAGACATCTACAAATGAAAAAGGCTGAAGAGCCTGACCATCTACAACATCCGATCAAGACCGTAGCTGAGGTACAAGCTACTTGTCGAAGTCCACGTAAACTAGTAAGACCGAAGTCTCCGCTGCAAAAACATAAATAAAGCAACGTGAGTACAAATGTACTCAGCAAGACTTATATCAGATCCTATCATACATGCATTTGTATCAAGAGGGTAATGTGGGGTTTAGTTGCAGCAAGCCAGCTTTGACTCAGTGGCTATCCTGTTCTACGACTACGAGAAATTTCTTTGAGGTGAGATGGCGCACACGAGTCCACTAACCACCACACAATACACTACTATGGATTCATCCCCGTCTCCCTACGAGAAGGCCATCCATAGCACTCACACTTGTCTTGAGTGTTTTAGAGAATCCACTTCAAGTTGTCTATGTACCACGTAAGCGTCCAAGAAGTCCATAACCGCGGACCCGGCTATTCGAATAGATCATGTTAACCCCGCAGGGGTGTACTTCTTCACACACGCTCTCGCCACTTACCGCCATGTACACGTCATGTATCTCGGCAACCTTCAAGCGGAAGCCTGGCGAGGGTGTCGGCCACGACCTGACTAACCACACAAGACTCTAGTCCAGGTTTATCGCTTATTCGGGTTCCATCCGTAAGGGAGTCCGGCCGAGGTTTCCATCACGACCCCAAACGATGTGTGCAGGGTTCCCGAGCCCACCTTCCGGGTGCCACTCGGTACACCAGGCCACGTGTGCCTAGTCTGTCCCAAGCCCACCCTGCCGGGTGCCGCTTGGTATAAAAATAACACTACCTACA